TATGAGCATGGGAGGGGAAAACTGCTGTTGCTGTGACTGTGTGTGTGAGCAATTCTGTGACTGTGTGATGGGGGTCTCTGAATGTGTGTATGTCTGTGTAAGTGAGAGCAGGGGTGGAGTGTGTGAATGGGGGATGTGTAAATAGAGGGTCTGAATGGGCAGGTGTGATTGATGGGGGGTCTGAATGAACTGTGTGTGTAATTGATCCAGGGTGTTTGAATGGGAGGTGTGTGTGAAATTGTGGGGTCTGAATGGGCAGTGTGTAAGAAGGTCTGAGTGCGGAGGTGTGATTGATGGGGGGTCTGCAAATGTGTGTTTGATTGCAGGTGTTTGTAAATGGGAGATGTGTGTGAAATTGATGTGGGGGTGGGGGTCTGTGAATGGGTGGAGGGAGGGTGTGTGTGATAGAGGGAGTCTGTGAATGGGTGAGGATGGGGTGTGATGGGGACCTCTATGAACGGGTGGGGTGTGTGTGATAGAAGGGGTCTGTGAATGGGGGGTGTGATGGAGGTCTATGAGTGTGGGGGGGTGTAATTGATAGAGGGCATTTGTGAATGGGGGGGGTGATTGAAGGAGGGAGACTGAATAGGTGGGTGTGAGGGTGTGATGTGGGGTCTGAATGGGTGGGGTATGTGTCATAGAGGGCATCTGACTGGGTGCAGGGTTGTGATAGAGGGGGTCTGTGAATGGGTGTGTGATAGAGGAGGTCTGAATCAGGGAGTGTGTACACCACAGGGGGTCTGTGAATGTTGGTGTAGTTGATAGAGGGGGTCTGTGAATGGTGGGGTGTGAGAGGGTTTCTGTGACTGGGTGCGTGTGAGAGACTGTGTGGGAACAGCATGTGTGACGGCCACAAGTGTGTGCACAGGAGGGCCACAGCCGAATGTCCCTGAAGGCTGTACATCTAATGCTAGGTGTCACACTCTGCCTCCCTCCAGTCTCCAACCCCCATACCCCTGCCAAGGGGGAAGACCCAGGGCACAGTTCCTATGAGAGAGGAGTAGGGACTGCAGCTCAGGAGTAAAGGGCACTGGTTGTGTTGGGGGGTAGGGGGCTGTGGGTCAAGAGTGAGGGGCGCTGGTTACGTTGAGGAGGGGTAGGGGGCTGTGGGTCCAAAGTGAGGGGCACTGGCTGGCAGAGGGGGCTGCAGGTTGGAAGTGGGGGGGATAGCAGGAGCTGCAGGTCAGGGGCAGTGGCAGGGCAAGAGGCTGTGAGTCGGGAGTGAGGGCACTGGCAGGGTTGGAGGAGGCAGGGGGCTGTGGGTCAGGCAGGGTTGCAGGTAGGGGGCTATGGATGAGGAGTGCAGGGCACCAGCAGGGATGGGGGAGGGAGGGGAGTAGGGAGCTATATGAGACAGTTGCTAAGGAGGTGGGAACAGGAAAGGAAAGTTGCCACCTTTGGAGAATTGGGGAGCCCATTGCCTGGGCAGGTGGGGGAGGGGAGCGGGCAGCTCCCTACCCGGGGGAGGCGGGGCAGGCAAGTGTGGTGCGAGTGCTCCCGCTGACCTGGCCCTGGAGCTATTTTGGGGGTGGCGGGGGACGGCGTGTTCCACAGCACAGCTGGTGCCCCCCCACCTGGAAAGGGCCTGGGGAATGTCATGGCCAGGCCCTGCCTGGCGCCAGCTGTCCTGATAACTGCCTTGCTTCCTCAGAAAGGCTCTTCCCACAGGAGGGAGGAGGCAGGGCCACCTGGGACCCTTGAGTTCCCCTACAGCCTGGTGGGAACCCTCCCTGGAGCCCCCACCTTGGTATGTGGGGAGTCAGTCACCCCCTCCCCCATCCAGGATCTGGGAGCACAGTTCCCTAGAGAGGACACCCCTATCCAGATCGGGGTGGGCAGTAGTCACTCAGAAGAGACCCCCATCCCTCTCCCATGTCCCAGACTGGGCGATTGTACCCCCTCCCCTGCCTGCTTCCCATTTCTCCGGTGCTGACTCACAGCCTGTTTTGCTCTGGGAGTTGCTGACTCAGCCTGGCTGTGCACCGTCAACAGGACAGGGGGCACTGGAGGACACACAGATGCATGCCTGTATATGTCTTGGGCTGTGGGCCTGCAAGGCAAAGGAGGGGGGTACAGAGGGGATTTCCCCCATGTAGGTGTGTGCATGCCAGAGCATGTGTTAATTGGGGGTTGTCCAGCTGTGTCACTATGTACAGGGATGTTGGGTGTATAACTGGGCATGGGAGTTGCTGTCAGTGTGTCACCGTGATTGAGTTGGGGGCAGTGTGTCACTGTGATTGTGTTGTGTATCAGATGTGACAGCATGGGTGTTGGGAGCTGTGTGTTGCCATGTGTATCACAGTCTGTTAGGGTGCATGCTGTGCATCAGGCTGTAATAACTGGGTGTGTTGCTGGACATGGGTATTGCTGCCAGTGTGTGTTGTGATTGTGCCTGGAGTAGGTTGTTGTGCTGGGTTTGTTATGCATGGCCACACCCAGCCCTTAGCGCACGCAGCATCATGATCTGTTAGTGTGTGTAGTGGGGTGCGATAACTGGGTGTGTTTCTGAGCACTTGTCACAAATGTGGTGCTGTGCATCTGGGTTACTCTGACTGTTTCAGGGATCCATTGCTGTACTATTGTGTATTCTTACTCTGTGTGTGGGTGGGGGGTATGTTATTGTGCTTGTATTGTGTGTGTGGTGCTATTGTGTGTGTTACTTCAGGTATAGCAGTCTTTGGTATGTTGCTGTATTGGGTTTATTTCTTGGGGTGTGTTACCAGCTGTATCATGGTCTGAGTGTGTAGTTGGGTGTGATATCCGTGTGTGTTACTGGGCATATGCCACATGTTGCTGTGTGTTACTGTTTCAGAGGAAGTTTGCTGTATTGTTACTATATGTGGTGAGGACTGTGTTGCTGTGTGTATCATGTTGTGAGCAGCTGTGTGTGTCAGGGTGAGATATCTCTGTATATTAGTATGGACATGTTGCATCCCAGTGTGTTACTGTGTTTGCATTGGGTGTGTGTTGTATTAAGAATTCTTACTCTGCATGTGTGTAAGATATTTTTGGGGTGTGAACTGTGCTTATATTTTGTGTGTAAGGTATTATTTAGCATGACACAATGTGCACTTCAGCTGTAACTGTCTTACGTGCCATTGCATTGGGTGTATGTTCTGGGGGGGTGTTACCATATGTACAGGGGATGCTGTCAGTCTGATACTCCGGGTCTTCCTCTGCATGTGTGGCTGTGTTGGGTGAGTTATGGTGTGCGTTCTGGGGTGTGTGTGTTGCTGGATTGCCTGGGGGTGCTCCTGTCTGCATGTTGCCAACTGTGTCATGTATGGGTGTTGCCACACACTGTTGCTGTGGGTGTGTGTAGCTGGCTTTGCTGTCTACAGGCTGTCCCTACGGCTGTGTTGTTGCATGTAGCAGATTGTACTGCCTGGAACTGTTGCCATGGGTGTATGGCAGTATATAGTGGGCTGCCTGTGTGGGACGTGTGGTGCTATACCCCACAAGTTGCCATGGCTGGAGTGATCTGTGTTGATCCAAGTTGTGCTTCCTGTCCTCACTCCTCCTTGTGTGTTTGTGTGTCTGATGTGTGACCTGTTTGTTGTGGTGTTGAGTTCCTAGAAAGGGGGGAGGTTGTTTGTTCCGTGTCAGGTTCCCAGCTAGGCTGCTTGTGCAATCAGAGCTTGTGAGGGCAACAGACCAGTTGTGGGGGGAGGGGTATAGGGCTGCTAGGGGTGTTGTAGGGGGTGCTGTTTTGGGGAGTTGGTAGGCACCAAGCCAGGGGCAGGATGTTTTGATGCAGTTAGGTCCAGAGCCAACTAGGTCAGGCCTGATCTGCTACCTCCTCCTCCGCTTGTTTTTGTTCCCTTCATTCCTGGGAAGAGAGGGGCTAGAATGGCTGTTGCCTTTCTCCACCCTGCATGTCCTGGGCAAGCGGAGGGACCTCTAGGGGCAGCTGAGTGTTTCCAGCCCCTAGGGGGAGACTGAGACAGGAACCCAGGAGTCCGAGGCATGACCTGCCCCCCCACCACAACTCCAGCCCTGTGGGCAATACCAGGAGATGGAGTGGGACCCAGGAGTCCTGGATGGCACTGCTTAGAGGATTCCTGAGTGCCCCTAGTCCCTGTGCAAGGGAATGCAGCCCAGGGATCTGGGTCTGCACTTCTGGAAGGAATCAAGCACTCTCTGATTCTGGGGGTGGAGTGCAGGACCCAGGAGTCTGGGGACTCATGGCTGGGGAATAACAGGGAGTAATCATGAACATTTCCAAGGGGTGTTGTCCAGGCAACTGCACCACAATAGTGCCCCATTGTGTGAGGCTCCCGTGGTGGTGTGTTCACGCCCTACCCCCTGTGCCCCTGCAGTGCTGCTCACCTGGGTGAACTGTGCCAGTGTGCGCTGGGCCACACGAGTTCAGGACATCTTCACAGCTGGGAAACTCCTGGCCCTAGGGCTCATCATCGTCATGGGCATCGTGCAAATCTGCAGGGGTGAGTGTCCACCCTCCCACAACAGGCCCTGCCCCCTGGGCTAGGCCTTACCCTATCATTACCCTGCCCCCTCAGTTCCACCAGCTCCTTCCAGAGCTGTTCCTGCTTGGGAAGGGGAGGAAGGGCAGGTCTGGCGGGAGGGAGGTAAATAGGGGGTGGGCAGAGATGTGTCAGGGAGCAAATTTCTGGGGAGAGGTGAAGAGGCTGTTGGGGGAAGGGGCAGATCTGAAGGGGGCTGGACTGAGCTGGGGTAGGGTCAGAGGTGGGGGGGTATGGGTGCACTGTGTGGGATGGGGTCAGATTTAAGGGGGGAGTAGATGGGGGGGATTGGGGGCCCTGGTGTGGGGCAGTTCTGACCCACTGCCCTTCCCAGGTGAGTACTTCTGGCTGGAACCGCACAACGCCTTTGAGTTCTTCCAGACGCCTGATGTGGGGTTGGTGGCACTGGCCTTTCTGCAGGGTTCTTTCGCCTATGGAGGCTGGAACTTCCTTAACTATGTCACCGAGGAGCTCGTTGACCCCTACAAGTGAGCAGGATGGGTTCTGGGCATCAAGGAATCCTCCCCCCATCACAGCATCCCCTGCTGGGGACTCTGGCATCTGGGGCAGCCAGTCTTGCCCGTGCTGGGATAACACTGGGTTGTCTGCCCTTGGGCATTTAAGCCTCTGGCTCAGTTTCCTAAGAGACCCAGGTTTCCAGTGAAGGTAGAGAGGGGAACCCAGGTCTGCATCCAAGTTTGATTGGAGGAGAGTGGGGAGGAACCCAGGAGTGTGGTGGGCCCCCCCCCCCCCCCCCCCCCACAGGAACCTGCCCCTGGCCATCTTCATCTCCATCCCGCTGGTGACCTTTGTGTATGTCTTCGCTAATGTGGCCTATGTCACCGCCATGTCGCCTCAGGAGCTGCTGGCCTCCAACGCCGTTGCTGTGGTGAGACCCCGCTCCCAGAGCTGGCCTTGCCCGCAGCATCTGTCCCCACCCTCACCCCACTCTCTCCTCCCCGCAGACCTTTGGGGAGAAGCTGCTGGGCGTCATGGCCTGGATCATGCCCATCTCTGTGGCCCTCTCCACCTTTGGGGGCGTCAATGGGTCCCTCTTCACTTCTTCCCGGTGAGTGCCGTGGTCCCTGCCCCTACCACCAGACCATACCCCCTCCTGCAAAGGCCACTCCTTACCCTAAATCACAGGTGGGCAATTATTTTGGCTGGAGAGCCACTTTAGAAATGCCCCGTGCTGTCACCACCCAGTGGCAATGGTGGCATTAGCTGTGGCAGCTGGAAGAAGCTTCCACTCCTGGAGCTCTTGCAAAGTGGAGTCCAGCTGCTGTGCTGTCCCAGCCCTGCCACTTGCCTGGGGGCTGTGGGACTGGCCACATGCACCACAGCCTAGGCTGCCCCCAGTGCCTGGGTTGGGATGAGGGACCCGCTGCAGGCCAGATTTGGCCTGTGGGCTGTATGTTGCCCACACCTGTCCTCCACCTATCCACCCTGGGATCCTTCTCACCTCCTCCTGCCATATGTCCCACCCCTGCCTTTAGGCCACACCCCCTCTACAAAAGGCCATGCCTTGCCCTGGATGCATTTGTCTGCAGGGTGTCAATGGATACCACTTCCCTGTGAGGCCCTGCCTCTTGCTCCAGAGACCACACCCCCACCATGACTCCACCTGTGTTGTGGGGCATCAGTGGAGCCCTGTTCATCTCCCAAAGAGACCTCATCCCCTTGCCCTACAGATCCCACCTCTGGGAGTGTCACACCCTTAGACATGAGAGGCTCTTCCAAGTCCCTCCCCCTTATTATTATTATTCTATTACTCTTGTGCTATCCTCCTGGTTTGAAGGGCCAGGTTCCCTGTTTACTCTGAACCCTACTGAGGGCAGTAGCATCTGGTCCCTCCCAGTCACAGCCATCTCCTCCTGTGCAGGCTCTTCTTTGCGGGGGCCCGTGAGGGGCACCTGCCCAGCTTGCTGGCCATGATCCATGTGCGGCGCTGCACCCCCATCCCTGCCCTACTCTTCACTGTGAGTCACAGGCATGGGGGAGGGACCTGCTGGCTGGAGGAGCAGCCTCTGGGGAGGTGGGTGGAGCCTGCAGCATTGGGCACTGAAGCTGGGCAGGAGGTTGGGTGGGAGAGAGGGACTGAAGTTTGTTGTTAAGGATAGTGGGCAGGCTCAGAGGAATGGGGTGGGGCCTGGCTTTGCCCCTCCCCATTCATGACCCTACCTCCTCCCTGCTGCAGTGCGTGTCCACACTGCTGATGTTGGTAACGAGTGACATCTACACCCTAATCAACTATGTTGGCTTCATCAACTACCTCTTCTATGGTGTCACAGTAGCTGGGCAGGTCGTACTGCGCTGGAAGGCACCCAACATGCCCCGCCCCATCAAGGTAAAGCCCCGCCCCCACCAGTACTAACACCCCAACCAGCTCCCGACTGCCACCTGCTCCCTGCCCCCACCAGCACCCCCTACGCCACTGCCAGTGCCACCACCACCAGTATCTCCACTTTCATCACCAGTACCCCCCAATGCCTAACCCCCATCAGTACACTCTACACTCCCACTAGTACCTTGCCATCACCAGTACCCCCGCAGTCTAACCAGTAAACCTCCACGCCACTGCCTGTTGCCCCCACCAACAGCACTTACACCCCCACCACCTCCCAGTATACCCCACCAGCACCTATACCACTCCACCAATAGCCTGCACACCGGTACCTCCACTCCCCAGCAACCCCCACTTACACACATCCCTTCAGCTCCATGTGCCCTGCACGATATTCCCACAACACAACGCCCCCTTGGCAGCATCGCTGTGGCTTGCTGCTGGTACCCGTTGTGAGAAGATTTGCCCCACAGTTGCCCCTCCTGTAGCCAGGCTAGTTGTGCCATGTTGGGTGGGGGGCACCCATGAGGACTGCCCCATTGCAGCAGGCTCCCGCACCCCTATCAGTACTTCTCACAGCCCAACCCCCTCCTCCCAGTTTGACTGTGGCCTATGTGCCCCCCTCCAGACCTCTAAAAGCCAGATACCAGTATCCCTTTTATGGCGTCACTACTTGTATCCCACTTGGGGGGGGTGCCCCATAGTCACTGACCCATTCAGGTAGGGCCCTGTACCCTCACCAGTACCCCCACTCCCCAACCCTCTCTTCTCCAGTTCAACTGTGGCCTACACACCTCAACTACACCCCTACAGTCCAGCTACCTCTCCTGCAGCCAGGCTCATGGTGCCATGTTTGGTAGATGGGGGCACCCCATTATAGTGGGCCCCTGTGCCCCCACACACTAACTCCATCCTCTCCAGTTCAGATGTGGCCTACATACCCCAACCACACCCTTACAATCCAGCTACTTCTTCGTGGCCAGGCTTGCGCCACATTGGGTGGGTTAGGGGGCATCCTGTGGCAGTGCCCCATGATAGTGAGACCCCTTACCCCCATGCCCCAAACCCATCCTCCCTAGTACAGCCACAGCTTTCATGCCCCTACAGCCCAACTCCACTATCCTGGCCAAGTGGGTGCCACATTGGGTAGTGGGTGGGGCACCCTGTGGCAGTGTCCCACAGCTTGACTCCACCTTGGCACCCCCACCAGGTGAGCCTGCTGTTCCCGGTGGTGTACCTGCTGTTCTGGGCCTTCCTGCTGGTGTTCAGCCTGTGGTCGGAGCCAGTGGTGTGTGGCATCGGTCTGGCCATCATGCTCACCGGTGTGCCTGTCTACTTCCTGGGTGTCCACTGGCAGCACAAGCCTCCTGCCTTTCACGCCTTCGTGGGTGAGTGCCAGGGGCGGGACTGGGGCTGGAGGCAGGACTGCGGAAGGGTTTTGCTTCCAGCTGATCCTCCCCATTCCCTCCCCCCTGCAGATGCCCTGACACGTGCCAGCCAGAAGCTGTGCCTGGTGGTGTACCCCCAGATGGACGTGGGCAGCGCTGAGAGCCAGGAGCAGCAGGAGCCCATGTGCCATGGTGGGGACCCTGATGCTCCCCAGAACTAAGCACCCCCCTGGACTGCACCCCCAGCTGGGGCTGGAGCAGCTGGATTTACCTTCCTCAGCCAGAGCTCCTGCCCCACAGCCTACTCCCCAGAGCCCTCTGCCCCTGGGAGCCTCCCCGCAATCCTGGCCAACCAGTTCCACAGTGCCCCCACCAGCTACCACTCCTGCCCACACACTTCCCAGTGCTCCCCCTGGGGCTGGAACAGCAGGATCTACCCCCACCCCTAGACAGTGCTTCTGCCCCACAGCCCGCCCCCCAGCACCTGCTGGAGCAGCTGGGTCTACCTCCCAGCCAGCACTCCTGCCCCACAGCCCCTCCCCCCAGGTACCCCTGTTGGAAATCAGGTGTCAAGACTTCCCCCCAGTTCCTGCCTCATGGCCCTCAAGGCACCCAGTCCTGGGGTGACACAGGCCATTGCTCCTGCCTCACAGCTCCCCACCCAGTGCCACCTGCTAGGGCTAGAGCAGCTGGATCTACCCCCACAGCTAGCACTCCTGCCCCACAGCACCCTAGGCGTGGGCTGGTGGGGCTGAGAGCCCCCCTCTGAATCACAATTGCCTTATCCCCAAGGGGGGAAGATCTTTGGAGGCCCCCAGTTATTTGGGCGGGGGGGGGGTCTTCACCCCCTAGCTCTGATGGCCTTGTCTTTTTCATGGTGTTTCTCTGTGTTTGGATGACAATAAATGGAACCGAAGGTACATCTGCAGGCAGCTTCCGTGGGGCAATCCCAGGAGAGTCCTGGGGGAGTGCAAGGGTGGGGAGGAGGAGGGGCAGGACCCCTGGACTGCCCCCTCACCTCACCAGTTGGGGACCTGACATGCCATTATTAGTCCAACCTTGCCCCCTCGTGAGCACCATTGGCCATTGCAGCCTATAGCTTCAGATGCCAGTTGCATCTACGCCCGCCCCACCCCGACCTGAGGCTACGGGTTGGGAGTGAAGGGCACTGGCTGGGCCAGAAGGGGCAGGGCCTGTGCCACAGAAGTGAGGGGCATTGGTGGGGCTAGGGCTGTCAGAGCTGTGAGTCAGGAGTGAGGGGCAGTAGCTGGGCCAGAGGAAGCAGGGGGCTGTGGGTCTGGAGTGAGGGGCACCAGCTTGGCAAGGAGCAGCTGGTCAGGGGTGAGGAGCACTGGTAGGGCAAGGGGAGCAGTTATTTGGTGGGAGGGGCTGATGCTGCATTGTGGGGGGGTTAAGGGCGGGGATCCATTGTGGGGGTGGCGAAGGGCCCCTGGGGGGGTCTTGCTGTGTGGATGGCTAAACCCCCTGCCCCTCCCCACCCAGGGGGCTGCCCCTGGGGCCTATGTGGGGTCAGCCTCCGCCAGCAGGGGGCACCGGGGAGCCCCGCAGAAAGAGGAAGGAAAAAGGGGTTGGGGGGGAGGGAACAAGTGTAGTGGATGGGGCAGACAGGGG